GCATCCGGGGAATCGAACCCCGGTCAGTACCGTGGGAGGGTACTATGATACCACTACACCAGATGCGCTTGATTGCTATTTTAACAATTTGTTTATTTAATCATTGTGATTTAACTGTTTTAGCTCTGTCAAAATAAACGCCTCCGAATTGAATGGCCAACCGACTGGTCGGCCGGAACCGGAATCGGAACCACCTAGCCTCCCGTGTTCTGCGTATCAGTGGAGCGCTCCGGGAAGGCGAGGAGGCCAATGGTCGCCCTTTCTTGCCCTCCCCGTTTGACGACTTTCAAGGTTCATCCTTTGGGGTTCGTCTTTCTTCTTTTTGGCCTAAATTGTGTTTTTATTGATTTTGTTTCATTTTATTTTGGATTTTTTTAAAAAGGAAATTAATGGAAATTTGGACTCTTAGGGGTTGAATATTTGTATTTCATATAGGAAATTTCGACATCATTTAATATATCTGATTATTTATATTTGTCTGACTAAAGATTTTGAGATAATATATTTAATGCAACTCCTCATGTTGAAGATTAAATGGCAGAAAAAATGTTTGTTTTCTTTTGCAGGAATTTTCAGGATATCACAATTTATCTAATTTTCTGAGTTGAATGAAATGGCATCTTTTTTGCAGGTTGGATTTTGGAGAATACATCTAATTTAGATCTTAAGACATCTTTCTGTTTTAGTATTTCATAATCCGTATGATTAAGATCTACCTGTCAAAGAAGTTACATTATTCTGCTAATGTCCGAAGTGCTATGTATGTTTGGGATTAGTTAACTGACTGTTATTCTAATTGTGAGTGATGTCTTGTTACTTCGAAAAATGTCTTTGCTTTTGAAGTTGGTTGAGAAGTCTTGTTGTTAAGGAGTGCTTGATTGAATATTTGATGTTAAAATTGCATCTGCATCCGGTTCAACCATGAATGGCATCGCGCTAGCGTGTGGCCAAAGTGAGACCTTCGCTGCATTGTACACAAAAGGCTATTAATAGATTGTGAATTATTTGTAACTGCTACCTGCAGAAGGACATTATGATCTTTGATCTAGATATGGATTTGAGAATTATTCGTAACTGCTTCTGCTTGTGTAGCATTTTTAGCCCGCTGTGTGTTAGCGTGCGTGTACGTCCATTGAACTTGTGGATTCTGTCTATGAGTCTTCTGACCAGAAAAGGGAAACAAATTAAGGTTGAAATGGAAAAGGAAATGAAAAAACTGCTGTAGAGAGTCAGAGACAGAGGTTCATTTCATTGAAAGCACATTGATATGGCATAGAAAGACAAATTTCAGACTGCTTGCAACATTTCTTCACATCTCTCACGGGTAAACAGCAAGACAAACTTACAATGCTATTCAATATTCATCTTCTTGCTCCATCCAGTAAATCAGCAACAAGATACAGCGTCGGACAATGTGCAGCCTAGCACACTTCTCCTTCAAGGCCCTACATATCTGAAACTGAAGTCTGCCTTGTTGGTTTTTTAAAACAAAGAAATGGAGAGAACCGAGAGGAAGATGAAAAACAGAGCATAAGCTGAAATGGAGAGAAGTATATGACTTCAACTCAGTTTTTCTCATTCCTTTTACTTCTATTTGTAGGAGAATACAAACTCAATTTAAAATTCAAAAATCAAACAACTATTTTACATTTAAAAACATCAATAAAATACATTTGAAATTTGAAATATGTAACAGCCATTTCTGTCACATTGCTGCGTCCTTTGGCAGCTCTGCAGCATGCTTGGTCCCTTGGCAGCTCTACAGCCTCTGTGCAGCTTAGCTTTCTGCACTTTGCTGCCATTTTGTGCAGCTTTCATTTTATTTGCATTTGAGTTTGCATTTTCATTTCATGTGCATTTCATTTGCTGTTTGCATTTGCTGCCCGTTGCAGCCTCATTTCAACCTCATTTCATCAACATTGCAGCTCCGCTTGCTGCACATTGTTGCTGTCATTTTACAGCTTCATTTTCACCATATTTGCAGCTAAATTGCTGCCATATTTGCTGTCAAATTGCAACTTCATTTGCTGTCAATTTCCAGCCTCATTGCTGCCATTTCATGGCAGTTTCATTTCTTCATTTCTGCAGATTTGATTGCCACGTTTCTAGCAATAATTCCAACATGCCTTGCCTCTCTGGACATCCCTCTGCCAAGAGTTCCTCTCTCATGTTGCCTTCTGTGAATGTTAGAGGAGTAGGAAATGGTAAAGGTAAATATGAACACAGAAGGAGACTGTCTGGAGTTTTCAAAGGTTTGTAACAAATTTTGTCTTCTGGCTCAGAAAGTTACTTTTATATTATTACCTGTTGAAATTTGAAGGCTGTGTTAACTGGAAGCCAGACTTTTGCATTCAGATGCTGCCATTTTGCTTCTCTGGCATCTTTCCATGGAGGAATTGCTGGATAGCTGTTTCCATACAAACCAAGACAGGTGTTGTTCTGCACTTGGGCTGGCTGCTTAAAGCCCCTTTGTTTTTGTTATGGAATCTTACCTGCCAATTTATGGCTGGTTCAGGACATTATATAGTAGTATATGGAGAAAATCAAGAATTATGCTTCTATTATCTGCAAAGTATTCTTCATGGGCTTTACTTTGCTACTTCTACTAGACAAGTTGCAATTGGGAATTATCAGCATTCTCAGATGATGATGATGAGGATGAATAACAAATACTTCTAGCAAATTATTGGATGTTTCTTTGTGTTTACTATTATGACTTCAAAATATGCTGGCCTGGACAATGACAACCCTCAAAGAAGGAAAAGAAGCCTGAATGTCTCTTAAATGGTGTCAATGTTTTCGAAGTTCTAAATTCCAGCAAAGTAAAAGTATGCGCCAAAGTTCCTCAGCTCGTTCCTGTACTTTATCCGACCATGGCAGAAGCTGCCATAATTGATCATGGTGTGATGTTATTAATTGTTAACCTCATTCACAGATTTTTCTTGAGCACTTTGATTAATTAAGAATGAACAGAAAACAAGCATCTGTGATATTCCATTACAAACTTGTTTCTTAGTGCTGATATTTCAATTTATGGAAAGAACTATATAGTCTGGTTTTTCTGCAGTTTCAGTGATTCAAGTGATGTTTTATACTAAAGGAAAATTCAGTTGCTATGTGATTGTTTTTCTTCTAGAATCTTCCTTGAGAATGACACACGAGAGAAGGGGAAGTACTATTGACTCTTTCTAGATGATGGTGTCTGAGATTTGGGTAGTATTTTTCCCTTCTTTTTTTTTTTTGATAGTGATGGTTTCTGAGATTTAAAAC